TTTCTCCCTCCACACCTTCCAAATTTTGCAGCTAATGAGGCTGGGACTCTACACACAATAGCCTTAGTCCCACACTCTCTCAATTACTATTTTTCAACCTACACACTGCATAGGACTCTGTGAAAGAAATAATAGACAACTGGGTATAATCTTTTTCTGCTAACTATCCCTATCCCAAGATGGATTAGCTCTCCTTTATTACTGGTCCTTTGTCAGCCAGCCCAGCGAATGATGGCTGTATTACTGAGTTTAAATAATTATGTATAAGAGAAAACATGATTTGTATTTTGTAACAGATGATCTTGTGAACTCCAAGCCTTCTATGTCATTGCAGTTGACCACAATTCTCAAACTGACTACTTTTATTATAAATTTAAATTAATAAAATCTCATAAAGTTCTGAGCTTTCACTCTGCCACATGCATTTTACAGATCTTGTTTACATGTAAGTCACATTTCCATGGGCTAATCACAAGAATATCCTCCTAATCAAAGTACATGCTGTTATTCCAGGTAACAAAGCATTGCAATGTCAAACAAAACTTTGTCAGTCCAAACATACTTCCTAGGAGAATTCCTCCTGCATCATCCAAAGGCTGGCAATATTAGCTCTGGTACTTCCTACACATTTAAGAGGTTGGCTCTCTCAAAAAGGAGATTAGGCTGTCCTTACTCTGCTAAAATATAGAAAATGCCTCTGGCAATGTCTGAGTTGGAAGATTAGTACTTTTAAAATTATTTAATGACTATGGTTTAATCCATGGAAATGTCTGGACAAATAGGCAGTGCATGTATAATGCTTAACTGATTTAAGCACACAGACTTAAACATTTGGGTTGAGCCAACTGCTTTTAGCCTCACCATTTTCAGGGGAAAAGTAGTAGATGTGTGGATGTGAAAACTGGGATACTTTCAGAACTTTGAAGTTCTGAGAAAAGTCCTGAACTATTGTTGTTGAATTTCATTTCTCTTTGGTACCTTGTAATTGAGTGATTGCAAAGGTTTACAGTAACCAACATATTCTAGAATAATACAGGACTATAAAACTGCTTTATTTTCCTGCCAATTATGTGGTGAGAAATATATGGCTGACATGTCTTGCCACATAGGGGGAAAAAATCATTTCCCAATTATCTTTGTATATTTTTGGCTAAGAAGTTTTCTCATGAGTCACAAATCATTTTCTCATGGCACCAGTAGCCTTATTACATATGCAACTAATTTCATTCTGTAATCTAAAGCAGCAACAAAATGAAAATTTCTGATATCTCTCCTGGCATTCAATTATGAGAAGCAAGGAGCTTTCTTTGTCTGTGAATAGCAGTAGGTAAAAGGATCTCAAAACCAGGAATACCATTGTGCTTTTGGTTGGCAATAAGGGATATAATGAACAGCATATACAATGGTCCTGGCCTCAGCACATCAGCCACCATTGACTATTTTCTGTCAGAGCTTCAAAACAATGCCAGCTCAAAAACCATTTTCAAAGAACTCTTCACTTATTTATCACATGGAATTAATATTGGCCTCACCCTGTTCTCAGTAAGATCAAGAGAAAGTTCTAAATTGATTTCAGCAAAGGAGAAATTAAAGATTTCTTTTTCATTTGGTGACCCTTGAAAAAGAGACAATCCTAGTAACCACATTAAATAAAAGCCAACATAACTACTTGGTAATCAACAACATGATAAATATATTTCATTTTGATGAGCATTAGAAAATCTAAACAGAATGGTTCTTGCTTGCTTGCTTGCTTCCTTTGAGTTTGTCTATCTCCCCCAAGAAGCAATCTTGATGCTCTCTGTGAGATATCATCCACTGAGAAAAGAGCGACGTTTATAACTGGATATACAGTTTTAGAAATAAAACCTCTTAACAATGGAGCTTGTGTTGCTAACTGACTATTTTAATGTTGAAGTCTTTGTCATGAGAGTGTCTTGAGTTACTGCTCTTTCTGTGGTCTGATTGTTCTAAATCTTTCCTGCCATAAGGAGATGTCTGATGCAGGCTAGATTATTTTTAAAAAAACAGCCAAACCCCTATTTTAGCCATGACAAAAGCACTTCACAGTGACAAACCAGTCACAAGTATGTTGAAGTTACTATACTAAACCTTCAAAGATCTAGAGTTTCGAGACAAAGGCAAATTACCCTAGAATCTTGGAAGACCTCTCACTGGAGTCTGCAAATGAAAAAGCAGCATGATTTTTCACCATGCAACTTGCTCCAGAGACTTAATTCATGACATGAACCGAAGTAGGAATAACTCATCTCAAGCCTTCCAAGTCTTTAAACATCTCAATACACTCTTCTTTCAGCAGAATCCTTTGAACGGATCAGTGATAAATATTTTCAGCTCTACTTCTGAGATGCCACAGAAGGCTAGAAATTCAGTCCCTCAGATATTATGTCCAAGGTGGAGAGTAGGCCCCAGGAAAGTGAGAGAGAGCCCTGCCTTGTCCAATTACGCTACATTGCACAGAAGGCCACAACCTCCGCTTTCACCCCATACACCCAGTGCCTCTGTCAGCCTCCAAATACACTTCCATGTATAAGAACTGACCCACAGGACACAATGAGTTCTTTATATTGTCTTTCTTGCATATCTGTCAGCTGTTTCAGCAAGGATTTGTGGTGGCTGATCAATTAATTAGGTGCAGACTCTTTGCACAATCCCCTTTGAGTTTCTGCTGACTCAGCAAGGGCACAGAGATGTACATGGATACACATTGATCTATCTGAAACCAAGGCTTCAGCATGCCCATGGCTCATGAGAAGACCTTGATTTTAACAATTTTTCCTGTTTTAAAATGGATGTTTTTTAACCCTTCCATTTTGGAGACTGCAGGTCACAGCATTTAAAAAGACTCCACAGACAGGCACAGCCACCAGGGCCATCAGCTCTTTCACTCTCTCCTGCCCAGGTCTGCAAAGCCAGTAGCAGGGACCAGTGAGCATGGAACTGAGGCAGTCCAACTGCAAGGGAAGTGTTTTGCTGTAAAATCAGGCCAGACCAGTCCTAACACACTAAGTAGGACTGTGCCAGTACCAACCTGCACCAATGCCAAGAGGTTCTGCAGATCTGGGGGGTTGTTAGGATTATGAGCCCCATCCCAAAACCACTAATGACCTGCTTGTTTTTACTGGTGAAGAATCAGTCCATTTGTACATCTGTGACTGCTAAGTCAAAATTCTTCTGCAAACCAGCACACTTCCAAAGGAAAAAAAAATAAAAGAGAACAGAGACAGGAAGCAGTTTTAAGGCAGGCATGCCTCAATAGCAGAGCTCGCCCTTGCTGCTTGAAAGTATTTTAACTCTGCCAGCTTTTGCAAATCCTGGCTGCTAAAGGTTCTCCAAGTTCACCTGGCTTCCAGACATTGATGAATTTCAAGCAGAAATATGCTGCAAATCAGGGGGTTGTCTTATTGAGCATCCACCCAAATCCACATCATAGCACTTACAGTCACTAATGGCTCAGTCCCAAGCAGTGACAGAGCTGAGGGCCTGTTTCATCTTAACCAGCTCACACTGACTAGCTTTAACTACCTCTTATGGATTGACCTCACAGCTCTCCAACTGCACTTCTTCTGCCAAGTTTGTTCGCTTCAGTGTTTTTCTTTCAAGTGTCTCAAGAGCACAGTTCATACAACTCCATATAAATCTCAAAATTTACAGCATGTCTAAGTTATACACAAGATGGTCAGGAAATTATGTCTAATAGAAAACTGTCAGCAGCAGATTATGAGAGAAGTGTGTGGGACAGGTAATGATAAGGCAGAAGAGAAATACAAAGACCTGCAGACAAACAAAAGAAGAAGCAGTGAATCTGGGTACTGAGGCCTGGCATTTTTGCCAGTTTAATCACATCACTGGATATTACACTTTTACAGCACTTTTCTTTTGGCTAAAGCAATCTTACTGGCATCAAGATACATATTTCTTTGCTCCAGGAACTTAGAAAAACTCCACAAACCATAGATGCCTGTTTTGTTGATTGAATTTGCCTCTAAATCCAGCCACTCCACCAGTCCTTCCCTGATGCAGTGATGGAATCTGAATGTAAGGAGGGAGAAGAGCAGGAACTGTGTGAAGGCACTGCCCAACCTCCTTCCCTCAGAATGCTCCAGCATTTTCAGTCTGGGTTTGTCTGTGTGTGAGGACATGGCAGGTGAAAATGGGTGGGGTGGGTCTGTGCCTGAACATAAGGCATGAACATGAACCTGTGGCTGTGCTTGAGCCTTCCTCCCTCGCTCAATTACAGCCTCTGTGCCACTCACCAGAGCACCCTCCTCTTCTTCAGTTGTAGCTCCCAGCTGAGATAATTTCTCTGACGTGCCCAGATGGACAGAAAGGAGGTTTGGTTTCAGTAACATGGCAGACAGGAAGGACATTGCCCAGAGGATGTATTTCCAGCAACCTTTGACACCTTCCCCTTTTAACCTGGATAAGAGAGAGGAGTAAGTGGCTGCACAGGGAAGCCTTTCATGGAGGAGTGCAGGAAGAGACCTGCCAGTGACAGAAGAGTGAGAAAGGGACAGATATGAGCCTGGCAGTTCAGAAAGGCACATCAAGAGGGACACAACAAAACACCAGCATAAACAGCTGCTGCTTTAAAGTCCAGCTGCCTGCTCCCCTCCCATCCTGCTTGCTCAGGTGGCTGGTCATTAAACCCAGACTGTTTTGTTCTTAGCCCCCTCCAGTGAAACTGTTTGCAAGCACAATCATGTGCTAGGGAAAACTCTGAGCAGTCCTGAGGGACCAGGACAAATGGTCACAGCTTTCTGCAGCCAAACTGGTTGTGCAGCCCAGGCAGTGATAGAACTTTGTTCCTCTACTAAACACATGTGTAGTTAGAAGATGTTCAAGGCTGGGTTTTAGTAGAGCCAGTGGGTGCATAAAATTAAACCATACTAATGTGTTTAGCTTTTTTTCCCCTGAAGTGAGAAATGAAAAAAAAAAGAGAAACTCAGCTTTTAAATACAGGTTTTGTCTCATCTTTCCTTAGTATGTTGCTCTCCAGGAAAAAAATGTATTCAGCTGACTTGAAGCTAATCAGCAGTGTTTTGAAGGTAAAGCAGCCTTTGTTAGTCAGTCTTATTTGGGTGGGGGGGAGGAAGAGTTAATCCTATGCATTTTCCACTATGACACCAAAAAACATCAGATACTGTCCTTTTCCCTTCAGCTTTTTTCCCCTCTTTGTCTTTTTTCCCAAATGTCTGGGATATAATATCCATATCCCCATCCCACTGAGCTTTTTTCTAATAGGTTTCAAACACTCAGTGAAGAGCAGTAATTTTTTTATTCCCATCCCCTCAGTCAGCTAAATCAGAAACCATGTTCTGCTGTCATCTGGCAGAAAGGAGCAGTATCAGAGAGCAGAGAGGTCACTGATAAAATGGACCTGGAAAATGAAATATGCACTGCCCAGAAAAGGACACACTCTGAGTAATGGCCAAGGTTTTTCTTTGGCTTGCAGCTACTTTAGCTATTATTTTTTAGATATTCGAGCCTTAAAAACCAGTTCTGGAATGGGATCCAAGGTGTTAGCTGGAATTCCCTGAGCATTTCCAACTCGGACACAATGAATGCTGACTTAAGTCTTTCATACAAATACTAGCAAGGAGAAAATACTGCTTTTCATTCAATGCTACTAAACCCCAGACACTTTTCCCTGGCTGATAAATTAGAGCTTTTATTTGCATTTGGGTCCCTCTAGTGGAAAAAGGAAGAAGTCCGAGGACGGTTGCAAAATTTGGACGGGACGTGCTGCATCACAGAACATCACGATCTGCAACCAGCAGCGTTTCTGCACCTTTGCTTCACCATTTAACACGAGGTCACACGAAGCTTCCTGCAGATTAAGCTGTTGTGGTGATAGAAGCCAAATATCAGCCCTCCGTGCTCTGGGGGGCATTACTCCTCCCAGCCTCCAGGACATCCCAGGGTATTTATTGCACTTCTCCTACTCGGTTCAGGTGTGCTGGGGTGGAGCAGCCCCACACAGCTGTACAGACCAGGGGACAGCTGCCTTGGGAGCAGCTCTGGACAAAAGGACACATGATCCTGGTGAACACCAAGCCAACCTGAGTCAGCACCCTTCCCAACTTCACTCAGAACTGCTGCAAGGCTGAAGCCTGCAGGCTAAGGGAGACATCCTTCCCCTCTTCAGCACTGGTGAAAAACAGTGGCCAGCTTTGGGCTTCCAAACACGATGCAGAAGTTGTCAGAGCAGATGAAGGAGGTCGACAGTGAAGAGACACAAGGCAACAAGAGACACAAGACTCAAGCCACTACAAGGGAAATTCTAAAGAGACAAAAGGAAAAAATATTTTCCTGTGAGCACAGTTCAGCAGTGGAGAAAGTATCCAGAGGGGTGGGGAATCTCCAGCACTGGATATATTCAAGACTTGGTTGCACAAGGCCCTGAACACATGCTCTGATTTAAAATTCAACTCTGCTTGGAAGAAGAGATTGGGCCAGGTGAAATCTACAAGCTTCTCCCAGTCAAATTTATTCTGGTTTGTATTTCTTGCCCACTGAGTAAATCACCTGGACCCTGGCTTTGGTGAAGATGATTTTGAAAAGCAGTGGTGACTATAAGAGAAAACAGCCAAATAGAGCAACCCAACATATGAGATTGTGGAACAGAACTAGTATCTGAAAGACAAGTGTCAGTCTGCATCCTACCTAGCTTCAGATACCTGCATTAAGAGTATGGTCATCCACTCACAACCCATTCTGAATCAACCTTCTCTCTCTCCATCACTGAAGAAGGAAGCTGAAGCACAGAAGAATTCAGTGGCACATTTTAATTAGCAATTCAGCAACAATTCATATGTGCTTCAAACCAAAGCATGCCACTCTTTGGATACATAGAATGGATTGGGTAGGAAGAAACCTTAAAGATCATCTGATTTGTATTTTAAGCTAATTCTGCTCACTGAAAACTTATCATGTGGCTCTGATTCCTTCAGCTGATGGTAAGGGGTGGAAGGCAGCATACAGACCTTCCTGGTAACTGCACATGTTATTGGCTGCATTGTTGTGAGCCTCAGTTAAAGAGAGAAGCACAATTACATGATGTCCATCCCTGATTTCTCAGCAGCTGTTTGCCCTTGTGATGGCTCCCCACAACTGGGTTCCAGCACACCTATTCCACAGTGGCTGTCTTGTTGCTTACCTCCTGTGCACAGCTGACATACAACAGGTTCACAGAGGTCAGGACAACTTTGCATTCTCATCCTGGGTATCTTCCTTGGCAGGACTTCCCCAGCCTAAGGTTTTGCTGTCTGGCAGAAACCAGTCCATCCCTCAGCCTCTGCCAGTGCCATCTCTGTGGGATCTCCACGGTGGCACTGCTTTTTCCTGTGATGGTAAGTGATCCAGAAAAGCTCAGCACCCTCTGCTCCTTCGAGAGGATTACTTACCCACTCTTCCTCATGTTCAAGAGTCTGGCTGGGAGTGCCCCTGGCAGAAAACTCCAGGGCAAAGAAGAAAACTGTCATGCTGGAGACATGCAATGAGTCCTTATGGCCCAGGGATGGTGTCTGACATGATAAAGGATATTCATGTTTAATAGTGCCAAATTCTGCCAAAGGAACTCTCAGGCCAGAGTGCTGATGCTGTGCTAAACACCTTGAACTGCTCTCAGCTACCCCTTACTGAACAAAATACCTCCTCCCAGGCAATACAAACCAAAATGCCACACTGGGGAACTGTAGAAATGTCTTAGCTTGGCTGCGACTTCAAACACATTATCAGGAAACTCTTCCATGCCAAACTCTTGACTGCAGTGAGTTTTGGAAATAATTACCAACAATAGGCGTTTCAGGACTATCTTACACCAGGTTCTACAAGGGGTGTCCACAAGGTTATGAAATATACATCCTTCATTAATCCAGGTCTGCTATTAGTAAAAGCTGAAATTGTGGGCTACATAACAACCTCAGAGGGCTGGTAAAGCAGCAAATAATTAATTTTTTAAAAAATTCACAGTTTCACCAAATTTGGCTATAATTTCTGAAAACAAATTAGGCAAATCATGATCCTAAAATTACTTAACTATCCTTTTGGATGCTTGTTCCCAATGTTAGAAGTAGCCAAGTTTCAGGAAAATAATTGTTAGAAGTAGCCAAGTTTCAGGAAAATAATTTTATAAAAACTTTGACATGAGTAAATAAATATTTAACCCCCAAATTTAGACTGCAACTGAATGCAATTTCCTTCCAAAAATCACAGTCCACAGAAACAGAAGAACTGATGAATTTCAGCCAAAGAGTTCTAAGTTTCAAGGAGTTTAAAGTAAGAAAAGCAGGCCCTAGGGTGGAAAACTGTTTGGCAATGCAGACATACTACTGCTAGCAGCTCCACCTATAACATGTTCAAGTTACTGTGTACTGCAGAGTCCCTAGCAAAAAGTAGATTAGTTAGCCCAAGAGTTTCCACTATTATTTGCATTGATACTTACCATGAGAATAGCAATGTTTCATCTGTGAATAAAAACATCAAGTCTAAGCCTTTCTGGCACTACATATAATACTTGCATTTTCTCCCACATGTTAACATGGATATTCACAGGCAGCATGCCAAGAAGACCGAAGAAGCTAAATTCATTGTATAAATAATTCAGGATCAAAACCACTGGTGGTAAATCTGGAAAGTCACCATCTGACCTACCATATGTGGTTACTATGGAAATGGCTTTCTTCTTTAACTTAATGTACTCAGTAGTGGGAACCATTTCCTCATGATTCACACGAATCTCGGGCATGTGCTCTGCTGCTAAGCACCACTGAGGAGCTGTTTGTTGCAGTGATGTTATAATACCTTGATAGGACTACAGCATGGAAACTGCCACAAAAATTGGGCCTGAGCTAACCAGAGTGAAGCTGAATATGTGCTGCAAAAGCAAATCAGAATAGGGCCTGGCACCCAGTATTGCTGCTATGTGGTCATGTTAAATGCCAGTAATATCAGTCCCAAGTCAATAATAAAACTGTAGCTCACAGTGAATGGGCACAGCTTGTTTCCAACATAGACATGAGGTTCATGGCCACCTGTTTATAAAATTTGTTCTTGTTTGGATTTAAAAGAATGGGTTTGTCATATGAAAGATTAAGCACAGTGTAAAAATTAAAGAAATCAGGACTTGTTACTTGCCCCTATTAGTTCTACATTTTCTGCAGAAGTAATTTCACTTGTCTATGCCTGAAAAATTGAAATACTTAATTTAGGCCCCTTGCATCCATCAAGATGTTTTAACAGGTGGGATATCCTGGTCATTACAGCATCAGTTAGGAAGAAAAGCAATCCCCAGGCTCTGGAAGAGAGGCCTTACCTGGCCCAGATGTGGGGTGCACATTTCTGGTCCTTCCAGCAGCTGTCTGTAGAAATCTGTTTTGCACATTGCAATGGGCTAGGAGGATTCACCCTGATATGAGCTGTGAAATTCCAGATGTGAGGTGGTGTTGGGGGGAGGTGACTTTCAATAACCACACAGCCCTCGAATGACAGCAGCTGTGATTCTTAATACTTTTAATAACTGCTGATCATTATTATTTTATTTATTCAGATACCTCAGTTGTAGCCAACATGACAGGCAGTGGTGCCTTTTACAGTTACTGGGAAGTTTCAACACTGCTCAAGATCCTTCATGTCTAGATATGACGTGTAACACACTTTTTTCTAGAATTCAAAATATTTTCCCCCCAACAGTCAGCCAGTTGTGATAGAGATTAAAAAGCTATAAAATGGGTCATTAGCTCTTTCCAGAGCCTGACATAGCTCTGTAGTACAGAGATTATCATCATCTAAGAATTACACCCCATTACCTGCAGTGCCAAAGTGCACCTTTCAAATCTGGCCAAATGGAGGTGGATCACACCTGTTAAAACATTGTCAGCAACATGCATCAAGAAGTAACAAAAACTTCTTCTCTGTGGATAACAAAGACAAAAGTGCAACACTCAGCACATGGTATTTTGGAGTAAGTGTGCAGATTCTTTGCACCTATCCTCAAAACAACATTTATTAAGTGATAGAAAGGACACTGATTGCCACCAAAATTTAATGGGTAAAAGCCTGATTGTAAGGGACAATGCAGAGCTCACATTGTCAAACAGGAGAGCTCAAAACAGAGGACACTGAAAAAGAACATTGACCATAACCTCCACTCCTGGAGTAGGTTTGGCTGCTCTGCACTGAAAAAGAACATTGACCATAACCTCCACTCCTGGAGTAGGTTTGGCTGCTCTGCACGCCCAGGGCACACAGGTGAAATCTGGTCCCAAAGTGCTGGAAGTCTCCTAAGAGGAAAGGTGGCCCTTTCATCTTCAAACATGGGACAGCTGCACTGGGGACACAACTAAGAGCTGCACCCCAGCAGCTGTCTCAGCCTGGCCAGATGTGTTAAATGGTTCTTTTGCTTAATCATTACAAGGCCATATAATTAATCAAGCGAAGAACATCTGAAACAGAAGCTTTAGCCTTTCAGCTGTATGTGTGTTGAGGTATAATAGTCATAGAAGTAAAATTTTTATTCTTCCAGGGCAGCTAAGTCACTGCCTCAAGGGTGTGGGGGTGATCTCGACCTTGGACCTACCCCTCAGCCTGAGCAGAGACTTACCTGGCACCCGATAAGTGAGGTGCACCTCTCCAAGCTGAGATAGCCTGGCTCTGCCTGCACCTCAGCCCCACAGGCTCTGCCTCCCTACTTCATATGGTGCTGGTGAGCCTGCAGCTGGTCCTGCCTCATCCTCTGGATGCACTGGAACACATGCAGGGAGAGCTATGGCAGAGCTTCCAGGGCTCACGAGCTCCATCTCTGCCAGGGGCACGCACAGCTGACCTGCTGCCCACACTGACTCAAACCTGCAGACCCCTTCCCCAGGCACACACAGCCCTGCTCTTTGTGTTAGTAAGCTCCATCAGTGCACCATTCCCATGGGAATGGCACTGCACTCCCAGCAGACTGCTGGGCCATCTGTCTCAGCACTTTGGAGGGCAGACCAGGCAGGCAGATAAACCTCTGGTAATTAAGGAGTGAGCCCCAGAACCTTTCATTATCTTGCAATCACATACTATTAAGCTGAGTCTCCTTCCATTCCTTAACTTTCATGTGAGAACTGCTCGGATGCCTAATTCTGAAAATGATGCATGATCTCTAAATGGGAAAAGAATCTCAATTTCCTCCCATACAATTAATATTGCCTGGCTTAGGCAGACCGGAGATACCTAAGAGCTATGCACTAAAGGTCTCCTTTACTTCAGCCCACTGAATTCAAAAGTTATCTCAGCATGTCCAGAATGAAAAAGAAACAGCTGAGAGGTTTTGCATCACATTTTATGGTCTTTACGGCATCCAAGTCAAATCTTTCAGTAAAGGAATTCGTCTGATTAGCAATTAATTATTTATGGCAATCAAACTCTGAACTCACAGTTGTTGCTAGGTTATGTGTTTGCATGACCATGTCCACCCATTTCTGTAGAGAATGCATAAGAATTTGCATTGTTAGGAAATCAAATATTTGTACTGTCAAAAATAGTCCAGAGGAAGATTTTTTTTGTTTGTGTTACACAAAAAGATCCAGGTTTCATCCACTGAAACAAGAGAAATCCTTGGCTCTTAACCCAGTTCACAGACAAAAGCATTCAGGCCTACAGTTATCATGAACCAAGAGAAATAATCATTTGGCCTTTACATGGTTTTGTTTATTTGTTTGTTTGTTTCGATAAAACCAGGAATTTTTCTTCTCAGTTTTTATTTTGAAAATGAAATTATTTCTTTTCAGCAGTATTTCCAAAGGAATATTCCAACTGGCTTCAGCAACTCACATATTTATCCAATAAAGTAAAGGAGAAATGTCACTGTAAGACACAAAAGCTCCAGAGTCAGACAAAGATGACCGATCATGAGGAGTGCATTTTGCTTCACTTTTCCCAAAAATCTTTTCCTCGGTAAATAATTCTGAGCTCTTGTTCATCTACAGATCTTAAATACCATTTCTGAGAGAAGCCTTTACACTTAAAATAAAAATTCACTCTTTTCACATGCTTTTCAGAAAAGGGTTGTACATACACTTCACATGCAAAATTATTTCTAGCCACCCACACTAGCTTCAGTAACCACATATTCCAATTTCCATAACCCATTTTCTTCCCCACACTCTCTTCTCACTGAACTGTCAAATCCTTCATTGCACTGTAATCTCCTTTTCCATACAATTTCTTTTCAATAGCCTAATTTATTTTCAGGTGCTACAAAACAAATAATCATTTTCAAAATTGATTACCAAAGCTAAAATCTGGACTTGCTGCTGCTGACTTTCTACTTGTAGTTCACATGCACACACATGCACAAACATTAAGAAAATTAGGAAAAGTTTGACACTAAACTGCAAAACTCATAGAATTTCAGAATTAAATGCTCTTGAATTTTACATACTCCTAAGGCTATGTTCATACTTGAAGCAGTAGAAATTCACTCTTGTTCATAAAAAGAAGCAGTCAAGTTGCACATTTCCATCTCACAGCTTCAACCTACCCAAAAAAAGCCAGATATGACAGTGTCCTGACCATGTTTATCCAGCTGACTTAAACCCCATTTTCCTGTCTCTCAGACTCATACTGGCTCCTGACAGGCAGTCTGAGGTATCTGTACTAAAATCCCTGTAAGAAGTTACACAGAAAGAACATCATGTATCACATGCAACACCAGATTAACAGGCACAGCATACTCCACTAGAAATGGAATTATTCATTCTCTTACTTAAATTTTCCATCTCTGTTCTTCAATAAAAATGAAATTGCTATAAAATCCCTATTCTACTGCAGCCGTGTAAATTGGTTCAGGAAGTTACAAGAGGGAACTGGAGAATGACAGTCCCCCAAAAAAGAAAAAAATTTAACAGGAGTATTCAGCCTTCATAGCAGCTGAAAACAACTTTAAACCCTCCTTTAAAACAGTAAACAGGGTTTTTTTTTCCAAAGTATCCCAGTCTGATATAACTGTGCTACTGTTTTCTTGCTTTGACTTCAGGTTTAGGCTCTACAGGTGCATTTGGCAAGCACATTCCAGAAGGTCTTCCAGGATATTCAGCCCAAGGGTACAACTACAGTAGTAGCTGGTTAATGAGATCTCATTAAAGAATTTTTGGGAGTCAAAAAAAAATCTGGGTTTGTTATAATTTATGCAATTTCAAAAATCTGTTTATTCAGATAGCATTTGCCCTAGAAAGAAATTGAACAACACATTGTGAAGTTTATGTATTCTATTTGGTCCTTTTGGAATGACAGTTTTTATTTTCCTTCTCCTGAAATGGACTTTTGAACAAAATTCAGTTATGAAAGTTACAAAATACTTAAATGCAGACCAAATATTTTGTCTCATTTATCTGCTTTCCTGGAATTTCACTTGGAAAGGGTAGTTCAGAAAGGAAAATCAGAGTTTCCTTGCAACAGAATACCTAATCTCCACCCATACTACTTGCCATTGAATGTGCTTATAAATGCTGGGAAAGGATTTTCAGATTATAAAAACAAGCTATAAATGCTCAGAAGTTCACTTGTGTTACACGGAGGGAACAGTGTTGTGGTCACTGTGATCAGGCAGAGTCCCACAGAGGAGCAGATGGTTCCCAATGCCAGGTCTGTCCTGGTGCCTTGCTCCACTGGAAGACTCCAAGATTAACCAACACGTCAAAGTAACACCCAGCTTTCCCAGAGTTAGGCAGGAAAAGATTGATCACATGCAACACTGGCAGCAGAGGGTTGCAGCTTTTGCAAATAGTGAATTTTTATGTGATGAAACTTTAACCCATCTCAGAAGGACACACTTCTGAAAGTCACTTTTACCATAGTCCTGGAAGTATAATTACTATTTTAATATTACTATTGAAAAATAAATAGGATAGAAGGTTGAGTTTGTTGCACAAATAAGCCAATGAACTCACTGACACTGATACCCTTTGGATCACACAGAACTAAACCCTCTGGTCTCAATCTTCCCAAATAGTCGTCCTACTAAAATGACATAACTGGAATTTATTTTTTTTCCATCCCTGAATAATTACAAAGAAGATGGAATTTCTCCACTGGGAGAAGATTAATGAGTGTGTAGTACACTGAGAGGGATGTTACCACATCCAATACAAATGAATCACGGAACAACACGTTGAAGAATGTCATCTTTTATTACATGAAATTCCACATCATTCTGGAGTTTTTTAGGACAACAAAAAGATACCTGTGATGTCACCAAACTTGTTGGGTACTTCCAATCTGGGCTTGTGCTGCCAAGTATTCCTGGAGTGGTGATTTAATTTTGGCTGTGTCACTACTGCTGTGTCAGCTGCACTGCTGCAAAAGCAGCTCTCATGTGCTCCCAGCTGGGCTGTTGCTGTCCTTCAAAATCCTTGTCATGTGTGACACTACAAATGGACAAGTCAGCAAGGTAACAGCTGCAATAATAAATTCTCACTGCATGTATGGATGGGGAAGATCGATAATGCATTACTGCAGATAGCCAAGGCTGGGACTAACGAAACAGCACAGCAGCCTGAATAAAATGAGCTTTTTGCAGACTTGTGCTAACCAGGTGTGTAAATGTTTGCCTGCTCCCAACCCAGGCAGAGGCGCTCAGTGAGTAAAGGCCATTGGTGGGTTCTTTGCCTGGGAGAGTGGGGTTTCAATCCAGCTGGGAATCCTCCTAAATCAGAGGGAAGCTTATTTCTACTCCAGCAATTAAAAATACAGACCAAACAGGACCACTAGTGACTTGATGTACACAGAAATACTAAAGTGTGCCAGCTTTTCACTGAAGCAGAACAGTAATTTTCCCTCGATAGTTGCAGTGAGATGGAGCAGTTTCTATTCCCACAAAGACTTGAGGGCTCTCTGCAGCAACCATTTCCTTAGCTCAGGACTGTTCTCCTCCAGAGCTTTACAAGCACACTGTGACTGTCCCTTGGGCCTTCAACTGCATTTTGAAAGAAAAATGAGGGACAAAAAGATAGTGTTCATCCAGAAGGACCAATATATATTGAGTCAAACATAAAATTATAAATGGAGAAGTAGAAGTAGTGCTGGAGAGAAAGCAGTTTGCCAACAAAACCAGGGAGAAGCAATGTGGATGGATACACAGAAATCTCATGAAAGCATCCCCTTTCCTCTACTGAACAGCTCTTTCCTGGCAGGGACATGTGAAAATTTAACTACTGACCATGCAGTAAGTTGACACCCATTTTTTAGCTCACACAAATCATCTGACATCATTCAGCTCCCTGATGGGTGAAATGGAGCTGGGTTGTGAATCCCTCAAAGACCTCATGACCCCGTCCCAGCAGCTCACACTGCAGCCTGTCATTGACAGAGGGGTCTAGGCCACCCACACCATCCAGACTGCACTAAGCCAGGACCTGCTGTCCCACCGCCGTGCCATGATGCAGACACAACCTCCTCAGGTCCCCTGGGGACAGATCTTCACCTTCCCTCCAGAATATGTCCTGTCTGATGGCAGATTGTGCGTTGCCATGCCCAGCTGAGCTGTTCTGTTTCCGCATGCACAGCCCACAGGTAGTGCTGCACACTGTTCAAATATGCTTTGCCTTCATTAATCTTTTCCAGCAGCAGATGAACTACCAAGCAGCAGAAAACTGCCACATCACAGGTCTCTTCCAGTTTCTCACTGTACTGGGGGAAGTGGTGTCCAGAAAGAAGGAACCAGAAGCAGCAGCCTCCAGCTCTCTCCTTTTCTGCAGTTCACAGGAACAGGAGGAAACACAACACAGAAACCAGCGCATGATAAGTCAAGAGCAAGAAAATCAGTCGTGCTATCCTGATGAGGAAAAGATGGAAGATCTCACTAGGAACAAAAATATCAAATGCATAAACACCAAAGCCTGCTGAGAGTCAGCCCTCTGCTTATACCCTGACCTTACTAAAGTAAAGACAGTGAAAATTTCTCCATTGATTAAAATGTCAGTATAAACCCTTTCCATCCTGAAGTGACCCATTTGCATTGCAATAGCAGAGATAAATCTGAAACAGTGAAGTTGTGTATTGATGAAAGTCAGGGAAGCTATGTTCTAGCTGTCAGCTGATGACTGCGGGGTGCACGTGGCAGCAGGACATATCTGGTCCATTTTGGGTGACATACACTTTACTGAGCAAGATCTGAACAGCTCACAACTGAGAAGCTAAACCAGTTCAAGATGTTGATTTATGCCCACAATAAAACAAAGGTAACCAACAAGGCAACAGTGAAAACGTGGCCACACAAGGTACAAGAGGCAAACCAGAATGAGCCCCTGCTATACAGCGTGTTTTATTGACAGGCTGGCTTGTTATTCACTGTGTTTCTAACAGAGGCTGGGATCAAAGATGATGAAGTGAGGAGGGGTGTCCTGGTTGAAGGTGACTATCAAACAATCAATATTAACAGTGGAAGAACCAGTCCTGACATAGTCAAAAGCTTATTGCTAGCACTGACTGTTGGATCCTCCCTCTGCAACTGGTGATTTCTCTTATTAGATTGGAGGGACAGTGACTTTCCCTCTGCATAATTTCAAGCATAATTTCCCTATCCTAGAATTTTAATAGATTAAAATTAATGTACTTGGGGAGATCTCCAAAAGGTCTCTGGAGCTACATGATGACAAATTCCCTCACTACTGCAGTCTGCTTTTGAACTAATCCTGGATGGTGGGACTTTCCTCTTGCTCATTGCAAGGGCTCAATGAAACTCTTTCACAAGCGTAAATCAGGACAGTTCACTGATTTCAATTCCTGAGGAGAATTATCTAGATCACCATTTTTAATCTAAGATTTCAGAGCAAAGAAAATTGTTTTGAATGAGTCAGAGCAAAATCCATCATCCCTTCAGCACTATGAATATTTCTCTCTACTCTGTAATTTGAACTTTGGAAATTCCAGCAATATCAATCAGAGCAAACTGAGAGTCCCAAGGAATAATGGAATAAAACAAAATATTCAGTATTACATCCAGCACAAATTAGGAATTATGTAAAAAATGAAGTGGAACCTCTAAAAAAACCCTGAGAAATTTTTGTATATTGTAGTATCAGCAAAGCAGGAATAACCATCCTTCCCTCCATAGAAATTCATAAAGACCTAGAAACATCTACAATAAGTCTAAGAATTGTGACCACTTCTTAAACTGAATGTGTTGAAGGGGTTTTGTTGAAAATTCCAAGATATTATCAGTATTATTATATTTAATTATACTACTTAAATAAGCTTTAGAATTTATACACAGTAATAGACCTATTAGGTATATTAACTTCCACAACAGCTGTAATCCAGTAAACAATTCACAAAACAAAAAATGTAATAAATGTTTATATTGTTCTGTATTTCAATAAAACAGCCAATATTGATTATTTTAACCTTAGTACTATGTGTTAGATTAAAGTCTGTGGAAACAATTTCATGATCTTCTAGGAGTTGTAAGAAAAAAAGCTAGACTCTTCTATATGACAGGATAGCTGAAATAATATCTACTGCCAGCCCAATAATAGCACATGCCATCACCCAAAAGAAGAGCATATACAAAAGGCAAAAGAGTTTTACTTGCTATTCTTCTGTAAACATGCATATTTAAGCAACAAGAAGAGAGATCAAAGGAAACAGAAATGCAATAGATGCAACTTGAAAAAACATTACCAGCATGACAAGGTAGAAGAAAGCAGAAGTGCCAGGTAAAGGATACACAGCTTGCAGAAAATGTCACAGTCTCTTGTCATCAAATCACAGGATCATAAAATGAATCAGAATGAATCACAGAATGGCTTGGAAGAGACCTTAAGGATCATCTAGTTGCAGCCCCCTTGCCATAAGCCCAGCAAGCTCAGGTAAAATGTATTTTGCATGTTACTGAAGAGTACTTCTGTCTGAGAAGAGGATTACATTCCTTCCTCAGTTTCTCCTCTTCACGAGAACCCACTGCCACTGCCCAGCACTTGCCTGAAGATCCCCATATCCAGGCAGGTCCCCTGAATCCAGTGTGATCCCTGAGGCTGTAGAATCCTTAGGCAAAGCCTCAGACCATGGGGTCAAAGTGTTTTCAGGCTCAGCATTAGATTCCTGACAGCTTCCAGGGTGCTTAATGTGAAAAAGCCCTGCTGAATTTATTTGTAC